GAAAAAAAGTTGTCACGCAGCGAGCGGCGAGCTTTTTTGACAACTTTTTTCGGCGCGCCGCTCCACCTCTCGCTATTAGATGATGCCCCACCGTTGCCTGCCGAGTCCGGCCTGCCGCCTTCTACGCTCTCATTCGCTCAGACATTAAAATTAATTTCTCAATAACTACTGCGAATTTTGCAAAATAGTATAGGACTTTTCTATTCAGTTTGCCCCGGTCTATGTACCATCTACGGGACATACGGGTATTAGGACACACCCTGTATAAGAACTTGGCCAATTTAGATATTTTTGAATTCCACATATAACATTGTCTAATGATTTCCCTATATAATTATTTCTTTGCTATATTTAACATTACGTTAACATTACTTAATTAATATACTTATTTATTATATAGCGAAGTACTAGACAATTTTTTATTCAACTTCAAATTTACGTTATCTCTTATCTTTCTTCTTTTATCTGAAAGCACTACGTTTGCGATCAGCAACTTCATGAAAAACAACCTGCTAATTTATCATTTTTCCACTCAAACCAATTTTATGTCGGCAGGACTCAAGGTATGAAGCTGGTTTTTCTAGATACTTTTCAAAGATACGGTTGGTTAAAAACTTCACGACTCCACAATATTTCCAACGAGTACAGAAAATCCGAACACATGCAAGAGCTTTACGTGTAGCCATGGTCAATGGCTACCTTCGGTCAAATTAATTTCCAAAATAATTAAAGTATTGTTTTATAACTGAATGTATTTATATATTTTATTTGGTAACATTCTAATTAATAAATAACGAAAAACACGCAGCGCTTGTTTTGTATCTTTTATACAATCGTTCCTGTACTACGTTTCTTCGTTATCTTCCTGTCATTATTTAAATCGGAATATTCCCTTGTCAAACGAAAGTCATCTTAAAAATATATATAAAATCATAACATTGTCGAAAATTGTAATTGGAAATAATATTCATGGTTGCTTTCTGAGATATGATTGATTATGATTGAGATTATGAAAAGCGGAAATGCACTTGAGCGGCATAAAACAGTGTAAATAAAATATTTAAAAAATATATTTCTTGTGTACAAAGACTTTCTTTCCTTTATAGATTCTGTTCCTATGATACGAAAATAATATATTTGTTCAGAAAACATGCATATGTGCATATGCATTATAAGATTTAATTTATATTAAAGAACTATGTTCTTTCTCTTAAGCTTATTTTAAAAGATTTATAATTTATGCGATAATTCGAAATAAGATACAATTTATAATTTTATTTATAATACGTGCAATACGAAAAATGGCAATACATAAAAGTACAAGATATGTTACAAATTATAAATAGAATTATATCTTATTGAATTATCTAAAATGAGTTTAATTATGATGTATTTTCAGCATTTTGAAAATCACTTTAAGAACATAAATATCTAAAATTATTATAGTTCTACTGTGTGTATTGTCTCTTGCTGTTTCTTAGGTTTCTTGCGTGTCTATCGTTTTGCGCCACGTATATATTTATAATCTATTTATTACGCAGGTGCAGGTTTTCTCTGTTCATAAATTCACAAACGAATTCATTAATAATTGATAGTTGTACTACAATATCTATTCTTCTATACTGGTCGCGTATATTGTGTGTTTGTAGTATGAAAAAAGTTTTTACTAATCGGAAGTCATTATTACTTTCAGGGGACGACATTCAGGGTACGGCGATTAGTCTGGTGATTTGTCCGGATTGCAATAGAACTTGCAATAACGTTCACTTACTGCGCAGGGAATGTCTAAAAGAACGCAAGTTTGCCTGTCCAATATGCCATAGAGCCTTTAGACGGAAGTATGACTTACAAAGACACGTGAAAAGCATCCATTAATTTGAACTTTGAACTAATAGTTCCTCGTCGATTAAAGATTTTAAATCACATTTCGAATCTCAAGAATGGAGCATGCTAGCTTTATGCTTATTATGTATACATATGTGTATATGAAGAAATAAATATTTGTTATACTTTGTATCTAATAAAGCAAAATAAACTCCCTTTAACCCAGAAATTTGCTCGATAGCTACGTTCTTCCTCCAGTCACAATGAAAAATGCACAGCTCCTAAACTGCATCTGATATTATAGAAAACAAATGCATATGTATAAACAATGTGCACAATCTATATAGCCATACGCACAGTATGTTACCTAAAAATAGAAAATAGTTTAAAATATGTTTAATTACAATGTTTAATATTATTGAAATAGTTCTACAAAACAATCGATTGTGACATTTTATCTCTGCAAAATCAGACAAGTTGTATTTCATCACTAGTGTAATAAATTTATAAACTTATTCGCATTTTCTTCTAGAAACCAGTCTAAATAATCGAATATTATTGAAATACTGTTGTATACTTGTTGTTCATATACGATTTAACAACTGATTTTCTCTATAAAAAGAGTAAATCATTAGAAACATAAAATCTTTAATGTAAAAATTAACACTTATTGCAATACATTTAATTGAGTGTTAACTGACTTAATTTAATCAATTTCGCGGAAATAAAATCTTTTCCATATTCCAGACGGCATCCTGACGAACGAGCACAACGAATTTAAACCGAACGCTAGCCAACCGAATGCATTCCACCATTTTATAAATCGTGGGCAAATGGTGTTGCCGCCACAGCATGTATGCGGCGAGTGCGGCAAGGGGTATAAATGGATGGACAATCTGCGCCGACATCAGAGATTGGAGTGCGGCAAGCTGCCTAAATGGCACTGCGAAATCTGCATGAAAATGTTCTATCGTCGATACGAATTAACCAAGCATTTGAAATTGAAACATCTCCAAGCGTAATCAATTCTCCAGCGTTGAAGATGTCCCTCCGTTGAGGAAAATACATGTTAAATTTCCTATACCTTTTCTCGTCATGATTATCTTATAATTATATCATAATTTGTATATTATACTATATGTGTACATATACAAAATAATTAATTAGATATACACATATGTAATTAATATTAAATGTACATACATCTATACTAATATTAATTAAGCTTTCAATCGACCATAACTAACAACGTGTTTTTAACACAGAAAATTTATTGCGAAAAATATTATCTCAGCCAGGGTTTGAACCTGAACCTCCCTACACTCTTAGGCGTCTCACCAATCGCAATAAATTTTCTGTGTTAAAAACACGTTGCTAGTTATGGTCGATTGAAAGCTTAATTATTGTTAGTCACGTAGTGGCTAACAAATCATTCTTGATGTTATATACTCAAATAATTCTTGATGTTATACTAATATTATAAAGAGAGGGGGTTTGTCTGTTCTCGATGATCTCTTAAACTAATGGACCGATTGGCTAGAAATTTTAACACAAGTTTACTTAGCTTCTGGGGCGTGTCATAGGCTACGTATTTTCTGCTTTGCGTGTCAGGGGAGCGCGCATGTACAGATGATTTCTTTTACTAATTGATCGATTAAATCGAAATTTCTACACAAGTTTTCTAAGACTCTCGAAATAGTCATAGGCTGTATGTTATTCACTTTGCGCATCAGGATATAACGTATGCGTAGCTTAATTCTTTAAATAATGTACCGCAATCAACAGTGTACCGATTAAAATAATTTTTAGAAATAATTTGAATGTTAATTTCTTTTACTTTTAATAATTTTTTTAAAAAGAATAAATTATGTGTTTCGAAAAACATATGTAAAACGTGAATGAAACTTAGTTGCCTAGAAGACTGTAGGAGAGATATTTGCGCAATATTTCTCATTTACAAACAAATGATAAATAACATAAATACTTGGTACATTCATATATTAAATAATTTAACTATTCACGCTGCATCTCCAAAAGACAGTTGCTGCTCACAATCAGAACCAGGATACTCTTGTTTAGAAATTTCGGGGTGACAATTTAGGGTTCTTCTTGATAATTCGTAAAATTTAAGTCCCTTTTCATCACGCGTGTGAGAGCCACGTATGTGAGACCGCGGGCGAAGCCGCGGGGCATGCTAGTATATTAATATTACTGAAATATCATTACAAATAGAACAGTCGCTTGTAAAAGATAGCATTTTATCTGGATAAATAAAACAAGTTATATTCGCTAATGTAACACATTCATAAACTTACTCGCATTTGCTTCTAGAAACCGGTCCAAGTAATCGAATATGATAAAATATTATTAAAAGTTAATTTAAAATACTAATACTGTATATTTGTTGTCCATGTACTTAACAACCGATTTCTTCTATAAAAGAAGTGTCATAAAAAAGATTAAATCTAAAAATAATTCAATGTAGAAATTGATACTTAATGCAATGCATTTGATTCAGTGCTAATTGATTTAATTTAATCGATTCGTTTACTGAATGTCTTATTGATTTAATTTGGTTTTAATATTTACATGATTATGCTGATCACATCGATTTCGCGAAAATAACAAAATCTTTTCCATATTCCAGATGGCAGCCTGATGAACGAGTATAATGAAGTTAAACCGAACGTTAGCCATCAGAATGCACCACCGCCTTTTATAAATTGTGGCCAAATGATGTGGCCGCCACAGCATGTATGCGGTGAGTGTGGCAAGGGGTATAAATGGATGGCTAATCTGCGCCGACATCAGAGACTAGAGTGCGGCAAGCTGCCTAAATTACACTGCGAAATCTGCATGAAAATGTTCTACCGTCGATACGAATTAACCAAGCATTTGAAAATGAAACATCACAAAGTGTAATTAATTCTTTAGCGTTAGAGATGTTTATCCGTTGAATAAAATACACGTTAGGCGTTTTATATTCTTATATTATTTTTCCATCGACTCTTGTAATTATATTTGTCATCTTGGTCTGGAACATCAACTTTACTTTCTCGCAGTGAATATTTTTGGTTAGCAGCTTCGCCCTTTTACTATATAATTATATTATACCTATAATGTATATATAGTATATATATCGTATTATAACACGCACCATTATACTAAACGAACATATCACTTACAAATGGATCAATGTGAACTTGAAGTATTATTAATTGTAATCAATTTACTCGCGACAATAATTTTTACTGAATAGTTATATAAATATTGGTTTGTTCTCTTACCGTGCATTATTATTCTAGAATTTGTTATACTTTTTGCGATTATCGTATCATACTGATAAAACAATATATACATAATGCATGTTGTAAATATTATGTGGAAATAAAGTTATTCACCGAAAATACATTCTAATAAAGAGACATTATTCCGTTATAATTGATTTACTGTGCTACTTCTCTCTCTTTCAATCAGTTTCATATTATTATCAGATCGCGTTTATGTTATGGCATTTATACAATATTAGTAATTATTAAATTTAAAAATACGAACTATTAGCAAAGCGGACATTGTTATATAATTTGTCTCTTCGCGCATTTATCAATAAAATAATATTATTTTTAAAAATTATGATTGGGCACCATGCTGCGTTCCTATTATTTTCCTACTTTTCTCTCATAAACGTTGCACATCGTGTGTATATTATATTTATTATTGATTTAAGGCAATTTTAGAGCCGCGATACTTTTCCAATTCATCGATAATAACGTGTTCGCACGGGATCACTCTTTCCGAATGCATGCGCTTATAAGACTTTTCCCTTATAATTTCTTTCTCATCTTCGCGAATTTTCAGATCAGTCGAGACGTAAACTTAACCGATGTTCCCTTTTTCTTTTTTTTTATAGATAAGGAGCTGTGCAATTGGTTAGTTGAACCGTTCGTATCGCAAGAGCTCAATGAGGGCAGCTTCGAATTCGTGTCTGTCGATTACGATCCGACTACGAAGCGTAGGAGAAAGAATCCTCAAAACTTGAAGGTTACCACGCTTATCTGTGATGAATGCGGAAAGAACTTCTCGAGAATCGACAGTCTCAAAAGACATGTAAAGCTGTACTGTAAAACCAAGAGCAACCAATTCGTGGCAACAAGTTGAAAAAATCATTGTCTCCGCGCAATTACATAAAGAGTGCGTCATGCTCATGCGCCTTATTTAGTGAAAAGACAGATAATGTATATTATATAATATATTATATAATATATACTGTGCATATGATAAACGATCTATTCTAGATTGCTTTAAGTTTTTCTTATTTCATAAAAGTGCGTAAAAAGACTTTCTCAAAAGAGAACCTTCAAACAACACTTGATATAATATTACTTATTGTTAGATTGGAATTAGTTAACGATAATTAATCCTTTATGAGACAAATTTTTAAAAAACGAAAGCATGAGCCTTAATGAAATGTCTTTTGCATGTCTTTATTATATAGAATTAGGGAAACTAGTATATAAAGATTTGTAGCAAAATAGAGTAAAATAATTTTGTATAAAATGTATTTCGATATATTCTGTTCAAAATATTCTATTTTAGGCCTGTTCAAGGAGGGGGGGCTTCTTGTGATTTCTCCATTTTTAATTTCTAGAACAGCACTGATGGATTATTAGTTACATATATCGAGTGTATATCCTGTGTAGTAATCTATGCGCGAGAATCGATATTCCTCTCAATAATTAATTTAAATTATTTAGTCTCTTTTTCTCTTGATTTATTTTTATTTGTTTAACGCTTCGATGTATCTAAATTTTTTTTATATTCACAAATTTAAAGTTGGTTTAATTGCGCTGATTTTGTTTTCGGGGGCAGGAATTGCAACAATCTTCGCCTCGTATTTCTTCAATTACTAAGGGCCAGTTTCACAAACGTTGGTTAACTGTTAACCAGAGTTCAGTCAACGCCCTATCTTTTTCTATCTTGTTCTCTAAGAAGAGACAGAGGATCAATTAACCTTCGGTTAGCTGTTAACCGACGTTTGTGAAACTGGCCCTTAACCTTTAAAACTTTTCATTACACAACTTTTTGTTCTTATATAAAATGAAGCTTTTACAAATCGGTCGCTTTCATGTGAAGGTCAAATTAATGAAAATGATGAAATAATGAAAAGACAGAAGCATGTTTCAATAACGTAATGCTAAGTACACATCTTTTATATATGCTAAGTACACATATATATTTTTTAAGGGAATTAGTTTTAAGTATTATTCTCAAGTAAAAATTAATGACGAATAAGTAAACAAGTTATGCACACTTTTTTTATTAGAAACTTCTTTCCTACATGTTTCTTTTCTTTATTCGCATCCGCGACGATTTTACAAAGCGTGATGTTCGTAAATATGGAGTTTGTACAAAATTTGTCAAACATGTACGTGTACTTTGTAATTCTCAATAAAAATAAATTAGTTCACAACATATATATATATATCCTCATAGTCATATCCTTATATGACAATATAACATGTTCATATATCGTCATTACTTTTCTAATCAATAAATACCTTCAACTTTGTTAAAAGTAGATTTCTTAATGAACTTTCGCGCCCTACTTTCATACAAAATTGTGTGCCAAGAAAGAAAATATATCGCGAGTCTTTTATTATCCTATTAAAATCTTTAAAAGAATCTTTATCATTAATAATTCAAATTTTCGAGAGCTGTTTCTCCCGTTCCCTATTTGTCTCTCCCTTTCCTCTTTAGCTCCTTTATGATTCTACAACTTTCCACCTTATGATTGTCACAACTGAGATCAGAAGGTAATTTAAATTATGCATGCTGCTGGCTTTACGCTGCTCGCTTGCCAGTCGCCCTGCACGTTTTGCTACGTAGTCTCGCTTTTTAACGGAGTGACGATGTCTTTACAGACGAGGATGGACAGTGCACCGCGGAGAAGAGCAATGACGAGGAACCGGAAGTATGCGAGGTACCCTTTCATGGCCAGCTTAACTACCTGCTCTGCGACTCGCCGATTTTGAACAGCGTGGAGGCGAACGTGATCCAGAAAAACTCCAAGTCCTGCCAGCAATTCCGTTGCGACGGCTGTGGCAGAGCGTACACGAGAGTTGACAGCCTAAAACGTCATCAGCAGAAGTGCGACGAGTTTCTGGCGTCGTTCCAGGACCGGCAGGAAACGCTAGAGAGGCTTCAGCAGCAGGAATACTATTGTAATCAATGCGGCAAATCGTACAGAAGGCTAGATACTCTGCGCCGGCATCAGCGACAAGTGTGCGGTGACAAAGAGAGCAACAATTCTTCAAAAGTAGATAAAACGAGCTTATAAGAATAAATCTGATCGCGATATCGATCGATTTTAGAAAATAGACATAGTGTCAGTTGTAATGAGACGAAATAATACGACTTCGTGAACGAGACTCTGAACTAATTTGCTAAAACTGTCGATAAAAACTTCGGATGAGCTTCCGAAAACTGCTCACATCCTGTTTACATATTCTTCAGTGAAAATGTAAACTTTAAAATGAACATCTTTCAAATGAATGTGCTTTCTGTGCAAAACGAGATCTTACATTTCACGGCTTGACACGACTTTCCATGCCAGGTTCCTCATATATTAAGTATTACTAATTAATTTAGAATTTAAGAGGAATATAAGATTATTTAGATGTTACATGGCTTTGAACTTTTGTCGATAAAAATTCATTTAAAAAGATATCCATTATTTAAATCATTTTTGCCGCGAAGTACGTAAATAGGGCGTGAATGGTTTTCGGAAACTTATCCAAAATTTCACCTAATTTATTACAGTTTAAATGCGCTTTCAGAAGATTTACACTGACGTAGCACATTAATGACTGATCTTCTCACAATCGAATTGTAGCAGATTGTTAATTGCACGATATTAATATCTCGCTTTATTAAGAATGTGAAACAATTCGAGAGAGAGAGAGAGAGAGAGAGAGAGAGAGAGAGAGAGAGAGAGAGAGAGAATCTGAAAGAGAGAGATAGATAGCCCTATGTGTTTTATTGTATACAGTCACTGAGAGATTTAGCTTCTATATGAACTTTATTAGATATCTAATGACATTTACAAGATAAGCGTACAAGATCGAAAAAATTAATGCGTGTAAATAAATGTCTATATTGTTCTCGCGCGCGATTGAAAAGTATAAATATTTATATAAATTCATGTATAAATACTATATTTATATTATATTTATATAAATATTTATATATATAAATATTTATATAAATTTCGTCCAAGTCTTTGGCAATCACTGTCAATGCAAATCAATAAGAATTTTATTTATCTCATATAAATTGTCTACGTCTCACGTTAAACATCACCAGCGAATAAAATTTTAAGCAGCGATTATAGATTTCTTAGTCGCACAATGTAAGATCAAAATAATGTAAGTTATATATATATATATATACGGATAAGTTACGCGTACGGATGTGCTTTATTTTATGTATTCCACTTTTACGTGTAATTAGTTAAGTTGTTTTTTTTTTCAAAAAGATTAAAAATCCCGAATGTGTACACATGAGAAAAACAAGATCGTCGAGTTTAAGTTCTTTCGGAATAATCGCGACAATAATAACTGTGTAACGAATAAATGATGATTGTTTAAATGTCAAAAACCGTGATGCCGCTTTTCCTGTGTGCTCCGATCTCAAATGTGAAATAATGATTATGGAAACTTGATTACAAAGTGAAACGCTATCGATAAATTGAATAAAATTGAAAGTACCATTGACATAATTTCTATCGTAAAAGCATTCTTTCTTCATGCACGCATAAAAATTAATATGGGAACTCGTTCCGTAATTTCGAACTCCACATTACAGAACAACTTGCTAAAGCGTCTCGCGTTAGCGTGTTGGGACCGTCCCTATCTGCCTCCTGATATCGTTGCATGCCCATCCATTCGCACTTAGCCACGATCTTAAATCGAATGGCCGCGACGCGATCTCCTCGTAACTTCGACCCTGTTTTAAGCGATTCGGACGTCACCTAATCTCCGACGCTCTGCTTTCTTGCCGCAGGCGTGGACCAGCCGGAGGAGTACGATGCCCTGTGGATGCTGGAGCGGAAAGCGCGCAGCATCGGCCAGGAGAGCCAGGAGTCCCTTCCGTTCCCGAGCAAGTCGTACTCGCCGTCGAAGGTGCACGATACTCTAGGGCCCGGCGGCGATTATCCGTTTGTTCAGATATACGACAGAGACTCCTTCGCGCCGATGATACAGACCCACTACAATTGCACCGATTGCGGCAAGAAATACAAATGGCTGGACAGCCTGAAGAGGCACCAGAGAGTCGACTGCGGCAACAAGGAGAAGAAGTTCTCCTGTCACGCGTGCGATCGAAAGTTCAAGTATCGTTACGAATTACGGAACCATATCGCCGCGCACCACGGCGGGTGACTTCTCTCCCGCGAACGTGATCCTCTCCAAGCGAAAGATGAATTAAAGGAACGTGACCTGAATTTAGGCTTTGTGACTCGTGGCGTCTCGTGGCGACGACCAAAATATTTGTGATCAAAACTCGATTTATCAGCAATATGTCGGCAAAGATAGATTTTTCGAAAAATGACATTTGCTTCCGAGAATTTTCCGTTTACAAGTTAGATGATAAAAAAATTTAGAATTGACTTATTCGTTAACGTTATTATAACGAACATTATGATCTTCCTCGTTTTTTTCATGTTTCGCAAATAAAAAGTTAAATGTACGCATATGAATAGTGAAGTAATCATAAATATTATTTCACACAAAAAGTTATTTCAATATTTAATTCGTTAAATTTTCTATTATTGTATCTTATTCATTATTGAAATTCAAAGTTTATTAGAAATAGTAAGATTTATTTTTGGAAATTGTAAGACAATGAGTTATTTCGTACTTTTTCATGTAATATATGTAAATTTCAATACATATTATATTAACTTATTATATTAATTAGTATATTAAACGTTGATCTAATTAACAAATAATAAACTTACGAAGATGAAAAAATATACAGCATATAATTTTTTGAAACAAGTATTCTCCTACTCCCCATAATATTTTTAGCGATAACAATCGAAACTTTATTATATTTTCCAAGTTTATTGTTATCTGTGTTTAATTAGTCACAATATTTTCGTATGTGATATCGATAAACCTTATTTGTATCTTTGTTACAAACATCTTATGATCGGAACGAAACAGATTAATTATACTTTACTTAATATGTTCCTTTATATACTCGACCGACGCAATAAAATTTGTAGTTTCGATCAACATTTTCGTGTCTAGTGGAAATAAAGCAGCAGACGACTAAGGGTATATTTAACGTGAAAAAAACTGTAATTCCGTCTGTATTAAACGTATCAAAATTACGTTCCAAGAAGAAGAGAATAAACTTTCTTCCCCCTCTTGCGCAAAAGAGAACCTGCCATCCCGTGAAAATCCCAGACATTAAGGGCGCCTTGTTCACAGTCGCTTTTATGGTGAATGGCTACGTGTAACTCAAATCATGCTGTGTGTATGTTCGTGTCGTTGTAGCGATCCCATACGAATTCCTTCTAGGCTAAATCGTGATCGCCAATCCCTACGGCAAAAGGGCGCGACGATTCCTGGCGAAGCCTTACTGACTCACTTGTGTGTTTTCTAGAGCGGAAGTACTCGCCAGGTGAAGCAATCGAATGGTATTATCGGTACCAGACGATGTATCTACGACTGATGGCGGAGAAACAGTTGACGAACGAGACAACAACGAGAACAACAGCGATCGAGAATCTGACGAGCGTCTGTCCCGGTAACGTCGCCACCGAGAAAATGGAAAACGGCCAGCCGCTGACGGAAGTCAACAGCAACCAGGTAACCGCGGATAATCGCGATTATTATTGTCCGCGTTGCGGTAATGCCTACACGAGATCGCACTCGCTCAGCAGACACATGAGATTCGAGTGCGGCGTGGAGCCGCAATTCGAATGTCATATCTGCCACAAGAAGTCGAAGCACAAGCATAATCTGCTATTACATATGAGAACTCATCAGAAGCCCTAAGACCACTCGGTGCCATTGAATATTACGCGGAGGAGAATGCGCTGTAAAAGTTTTAATCAAGACAATTAACTAACAAGATGAATGTAAGATATAAAAATTAGACTAAAGTATTGAGATTTTAGGACTCTCAGACTGATTCCTTTTTGTCGAATAACTCACTAAAATATTTGTGAATGCCATATTTCACATAAATTATAAATTTTTTGGGTTCAATGTCACTTCGGCCAATTTCTTCGGATTTTATCATGAAGGAATGTTCTGTCTGTTTCTCTTACGCGTAAACATCACTTTGTGATTAATTATAGACAATAAACATTCTGAAAATCCAAATGCAACTATAGAGATAATTCATAGATGTAACTGATATTTTAATTTGTATCAATACAAAGAAAACGGCTCAATTAAGCTCTGTTCTTAGATCTTTATTAATTGAGTTATTCTTCATTGAGGAGATAGTTACATAACATAGAGGAGAGTATATTCATATTATATAACTCTCTAGTTATGTAATACAAATACAATATTAAAAATGTTTTCCGTACAAGTATATTTTAAGAGTGTACTTGATTCGTACATAGCAGTAGTTGTCTAACTTGTGATGTCACACAAACGAGCGAACAATTGATTAAAGAGTTTTGATATACAATCGCAAAGTTTTCCAAAGAATATGTAAGATAGAATGCTTATGTAAGAACGTACAAGATCAAGATACGTCTAACGTATCTAAAAGAACATTAACGTATTATTTTAGATAGTTTTAATCTAAACTGCCAAGAGTTGCGAGAGATGGTTACGAGAAATTCTTATTAAGGCGGAACCTTTGAGTTTAGAAAGCCTTTTTCCGCTTTACAAGAAATAACAAAGTTACTATAAAGATTAATAAACGATGTTGTTTTTATTAATTGTCTTAATTAGTCAGGTTTGCAATTTTGCAAGCGCAATTATAATATCTAATCAAATTGTTACAACATAATTAACATATAATTCCATAAAAGTAAGACTTAATACCAGTAAGATTATCGGTTGAATTGTTAAAGCCAGTAATTTTCGTTTACGTATTTTGTGTTTAAACTTTACCATTGTTACAGTTTTTAAATCTGGTAAATAAACATATTATACATACGAGTACTTATATAGCATACTTATATGTTTGAGTTGATTCATAAGTGTGTGAGGATTTTATCTGATTGGCACTGGAATGAAATTTTATTAAAAATTAATTAATTTGATAAAATAATATATTATTATTATTAATAAAATAATTATATATATTAATAATTAATTAATTGAAAATTAATAATAAAATTTATTTAAATTTTATTTAGAAATTCACACTAATTTCAATCCAATAGTTAAATATTTTACAAATTATTCATACTAGATGAGATTTATATTAACAAATTGTTAATTGATTAATTTATGTATTAATTAATTTAAATCGATTAATTATACGTTAGATTAATCAAAGTAATTTGTTATATGTTTTGTGTATTTGTTAAATTTATTATCAGCAGTATTGGAGCAAATTTTATGTTATTATTCATAGATCCACTGCCATGATAATTTTTTTTTCTATCCAGGCAATTTTTATTGTCCCAACGGCAGACTGAATAACGTTCAAATAAACTTAAATTGCATTTCTGCCACTAAATGTAGCATCAAGTCTATTATAGTTATATACTGATGGTAATAAACTGTCAATAACTTAATATATTATATATAAGACGTTTACGAAAACAATGCATACAGTCGTGGTCAGAAAGGTTGTCCGACGTTTTATGATGAATTTCGGAAATAGTTTATCATGCGAATAACTATATCTTTTGCTCACGGATATGTGCAGTGACGCATTATCAGAACAAAAAGATGATACTTACGAATATTCCGAAAACTCATTGTAAAACGTCAGACAATCTTTCTAACCATGACCGTACATGTCGCATGAGAATTTAATTGACTTCCAATGCTTCTCTTCGAGACGTCTTGTATATCTGCTCACATGTATTTCTGGTCTGTTTGCCAATAGTGAAAACAATTACTTTAAAAATTTAAAGTCATTAATTTATAAGTCATCAGAAATAAACTGTGATTGTTAACAGTGCAAAATGCAGCTATGACGTATGTAATGTATACAAAAAGATTTATATGAAAATGCGAGATATAAAAATTCATGCTGAGTATTTCCATTGCATATTGAGTGCAACAGTAGATAAGAATAAGAATATGAGCCTATATTTTTACAATTAGTAAGGAAATAGCAGTGCCAACGAAACGAATAGTCTGAATAAACATATATATATATGTACGTATACATATATACAATATATAACATATAAACAGTTATATATATATATAATGCGACAGAGATGTATTCTATAAATTTTTATTTAGGGGAGAGTCTGTGACATGTGCAATGATCGCGCCTTCGCATGTAACGAGCTCTCTTTGTCAGATGTACCCGCATAGAGACTTAAAATTTATGCGAATATATAATACATGCGGATATATGTTTGCGTTAGTTATTATGTATCTGCAATAAAAATAAACACGCATATTTTGTAAATACTACAGAATTTTATTAATATTCAGATATGTCCCCACACACCAACCTCCTATTTTATCAATATTCGATTACTTACATGTACGATTGTTCAAATGTCAATCTTAGAACTTTTTCACGAATTAGCCGCTGCGAGATTTTTTGCAAGACCTTTCTGGAATAATTACGATAGTTCGATCGATACTGCCAATCACATGATTATAATATTTTTTTCAATACTATTATTGTACGTATTATACTTGAAAATGAGATGTAGATGATTGTTAAATGCATGCAGCAGTGATGTCTGAAATACTTTAAATCGGAGATGGACAAAACTCGCGGTACTACAAAAATATTTAAAATACCACAGAGAACCGTATACTTTTATTGAACTATTTGAATTTAATTAGATGTTAAAATGTAGGCATTGAGTTTCTTTTTTGCTAAATGTACAAGGTAAAAATGATTGAAATAATAATGAAATATTACAATAAATTAAAGCATCGCAGAGAATATAACAAATAAAAATATGTACTCAAATCAACGATTCCGATAATCGTATTTGTCTATTCCTGACATAAATTATATGGAAGTTATCTGTTGCAGAGATACGTTTTGGTTGTGAAAATATTATGTATTATGATGCGTAGCACGATGCAGTTTATCGTATCAAAATTATCAAAGGCAATTCATGAAAATGCTTCGCAAATGCATGTAGTTTAGAGATTAGAAGCTGCGAGAGACGCCGCGATGCAGGACTAAGCGTGCGTATACAAGAACGGGAGTAAAATATACTAAAAAGAGAGAGAGAGAGAGAAAGAGAGAGAAATCT